GATCTTTCAGGAGCCTGCAGAGACATGGTGGGTCGAATGGCCTCCTCCTAAACTGTAAAATTCTTTGAATGCTTTGATCTAACTAAAATTCCTCATCAATTGTGGTGCCTGCAGTGCGTGAAGTCTCCTGATTATGTGTGCCAGAGGAAGTGGTACAGGTGGGTACAATTACAACATTAGAAAACATTTGGACAGGTACATAGATAGGAAAGGTTTAGAGGGATATGGGTCAAACGCAAGCAGTTTGGACGAGTTCAGTTTAGGAAACCTGGTTGGCATGGACATTTTGGGCCAAAGGGTCTGTTACTGTGCAGTATACCTCTACGACTCTGTGCCCAGAAGTATATTCCCAAGATAACCATGCCCTTGCTACTGCGTCCCTTAGTTCCGAAATGCTCTCTTGACTGGTGTCTCAACTTCCACCCAATACAAAATTTAGCTCAGCCCAAATTCTGGCCTCTATGTCCTAATTCACAGCTGATCCTGTCCACTCACTGCCGTCTGGGCTCACTGATTAACTTTGATTTGCGGTCTGGAAAGAATTGTCTTCAATCCCTCCATGAGTTAGTTAATGTCAAATTGTCTCTGTGATGATGGGAGTGGGACACACTCAAGGAGGGACAGAGGGAACAGTGAGAGTAACCAGACACACTGACTCTGTAGCTTCCTCGAGCACAGCTCCTCAGATTTCTGCTGCCTTTCAATTCTCACCTTGCACAGATACCAAATTTAATCTCTCCACCATTGGTGGCAGTGCCTTCAGCTGCATTGACCCCAAGCTCTGCAATTTCCTTTCTAAATCCCTCTTCCTTTCTCTCCTCCTCCTTCAGGATGCTTACTAAAATCTATTAGAGCATGCTGTCAGTTAAGGAACTGAATCTTGGGGTGATGTAGAGGTACATTTTGCCTAAGCTCCTATCAGAGGATGATAAAAAAGCAGAAGTTGTTCTTCAAGAGACAAACTATTTGGACCGTTTGCAGTTCAGGGTTTTCTTTAAGTGAACTGCAGGGCTCTTAATGCTCTGTCACCTTGTCCAGACTAACATACAACAGGGTCCAAACTTCAGTACACCCACAACATCAAGTCTTATCCAACAATGGGACAGACGGGATTAACACATCTTGAAAATCGACACTGCTCTGTTGACTCAATCTCCGGGTCACAATGAAGAGAACCAAAATTCGAGTGGATCCTATTACCCAGTACAGGATGGGAGATGAGGGGCTATTACAAGCAGACAATAATTTAGTGGGGTTACAGAGGAACTGGCAATTACAGACATGAAACAGGAGAGAAGCGAGGGAGGACTTCTCGCCCCTGGGTGTTTCCTCTTGACTTTCTGCTCGGTATCTGCAGTCAGCCCCTGCTGGGGGAGGGGGAAAGATTGTGAGGCGAGGAGTTACCCGTGTGGAGGTCTTTTCGAACTGCAGAAAGTTCTACCAAACTTGGCAAAATGTTGGGAGGCGTCGGAGAAAGGGATAAATGCAGCCTATTCCCAGCCTAGAACAAAAGGCTGAGGCCAATCTGAAGGAGGGGAGGTGGAAGAGGGAATGACGAGGGGAAAAGGAAACGGGAAGAGCAATGGGAAAAGGAGAGGCTCCTGTCTCTCTCTACCCCCGCCCCGCAAACGAAGTGAGCGCCGCGAGCAGCGAGAAAAAGTTTGCAAAGTCTTACCGTGCGGGCCCCGGGGGTGAGCGATCCGCTTGGGAGGTAAGGAGTAGACAGCTCCGGGATCATGATGAAAGGATAAGCGGCGGCAGCTCCCTTGAACAACCCTCCATCTTGCCTTTTGACTGGGAATTTGGGAACATGGCCGAGAGAGAGAGAGAGAGAGAGAAGGGTAGGGGGGAAAAGTTGGTGAAACTTTGCGAGTTGCCAGGAATGTTGCAAAGCTGTGAATGTAGAAAGCTCGGCTCCAGGATCTCACTCTCTCTCTCACTCACTCACCTTCGTGCTGCTGGTAATCCCGAGCTTTCTCTCCAAAACTCGGCGTGTGCCTGCGCTCAGCCTGCAAAACACAAAAACACACAGACAGAAAGAAAGAGCTGTGAAAGTGCCCGGGCCGGGGACCCCTCCCCCCATCAACGGGGCTCAGCAGCCAGGGCAGGGGGACGGCAGCTGGCCCGGCTCCTCACGGCCTCACCTCGGTCTCCGGGGAACTGCCGCCGCCGCCGCCGCCGCCACCACCCCCGCTGCCCGGCGCCGTCTGCTCGCTCTCGTTGACCAGAGATGACTTGACATCGGCGAGGTCCCGGTCTGCGGACACACTGCCCGGCCGCTTGTCCTCCTGCTCGCCCTCGTCCTTGAAGGAGATCATCTCATCACTGGCCCCCAGATCATCGCCTGCTGGAAGCTGCGGCATCTCGCTGGCTCTCACTCTTTCCTCTTCTCCTCTTTCTCCCTCCTTCCCTCTCTCTGACCACGCTCTGATTGACACTTTGATGGACACCAAACTTCCAAAGCTTTCTCCAATCAGAAGCCCCTGCGGGGGCGGGGCGACTGCCTTGAAATGGACTCGATCCCCGGAATGACCCTTCCCTTTCCCTTTCGCCAGACCCCCCCAACCAACCAAACAACCAGTATAAACTCTCTCCCTTCCCAATCCCACACACTCCGTCATCCTCACTTCCACACCAACTCTCAACCGCAGTGTCCCAAAGACTCACTATTACCAAATGCTGCACACTCACTTTTCAAAGCCCAAACTGAATGGAGAATTTGATCGAGACTGAGGGGAGACACAGACAGTCCCGTCGGAGCCAACTCCGGGCGCATTTCACTCATCAAACCAGCGCCGAAAAACCTAAGAGAGCCCCAACTAACTGCACACATGAAGCGAGTCCAACATAGGCGTGAAAACGAACATATTCAGGACGACCCTAAAATAAGATTTACCATGCACACCCTGAAGACCAGAACACAACAGGTATCAACACAAATAACTACACACAGAGGAGAGGTATTAACACAAATAACTACACACACAGGACAGGGAGTAACACAAACACAGACACACACAGGATAGGAACAACACATCATTACACACAGAGGACAGGTGTCAACACAAATAACTACACACACGACAGAAACAACACAAATAACTACACAAACAGGACAGGTATTAACACAAATAACGAAACACAGGACAGGAACAACACAAATAACTACACACAGGACAGAAACAACACAAATAACCACACAAACAGGACAGGTATCAACACAAATAACTACACACACAGGACAGGAACAACTCAAATAACTGCACAGACTGGACAGGTATTAAATCAAATAACTGCACACACAGCACAGGAACAACTCAAATAAGTACACGCACAGGACAGGTATGAACACAACTAACTACACACAAAAGACATTTATTAATACGAATAGCTACACACACAGGACAGGAACAAGACGAACAACTACACACACAGGACAGGTATTAACACAAATAACAACACACACAGGACAGGTATTAACACAAATAACTACATGCACAGGACAGGAACAACACAAATAACTACACACAGGACAGGTGTTAACACAAATGGCTACACACACATGACAGGTATTAACTCAAATAGCTACACACACAGGACAGGTATCAGCATAAATAACGGCACACACATGACAGGTATCGACACAAATAACTACACACACATGACAGGTATTAACTCAAATAGCTACACACACAGGACAGGTATCAGCACAAATACCGGCACACACAGAACAGCTATTAACTCAAATAACAAGACACACAGGACAGGAACAATACAAAGAACTAAACACACAGAAAAGGTATTAACTCAACTAACTACACAGACAGGACAGGTATCAACACAACTAACTAGACACACAGGACAGGTCTTAACACAAATAACTACACACGTAGGAAAGGTATTAACTCAAATAACTACACACACAGGACAGGTATCAACACAACTAACTACACACACAGGGCAGGTCTTAACACAAATAACTACACACACAGGACAGGAACAACACAAATAACTACTCACAAAGGAGAGGTATCAACACAAATAACTACACACACAGGACAGGTATGAACACAACTAACTACACACACAGGACATGTACTAACACGAATAGCTACACACACAGGACAGCAACAACATGAACAACTACACACATAGGACAGGTGTTAACACAAATGGCTACACACACAGGACAGGTATTAACACAAATAACTACACACGCTGGACAGGAACAACACAAATAACTACACACACAGGACAGGAACAACACAAATAACGACACACACAGTACAGTTATTAACTCAAATAGCTACACACACATGACAGGTATCAACACAAATAACGAGACACACAGAACAGCTATTAACTCAAATAACAACACACACAGGACAGGAACAACACAAATAGCTACACACACAGGACAGGAGCAACACAAAGAACTCAACACACAGAAAAGGTATTAACTCAAATAACTACACACACAGGACAGGAACAACA